TACGCAGACCTACAATCTATTTGTGATCTTTAAGCACAATTTTGATTATTGGTTGGAGTTTCAATCATAGTTCAAGGGGGTTGGAAATTTTAACTTCTGTAATTATTTTAAAAGCTAATGCATACCCTTTAACAATTCAGTTTGCTGAAATGGTCATTTACGCTTCTGTATTTATACACCTAAGCATCATTTTAAGTGCAATAGATTTTGCAATCCCAGTTGATTCACCTAGAATGCAACATTCTTATCAAATGACAACCAATCTTAGACTCTAAGTTTCTTAAATTCGTGAGTCACATTTCTTTGTTTGAGCTGCATAAAACCTAGATTACTGAACACTCAGTTAATATCTCTCATGATAAGGATGTCAATGACATTTGCAATCATTTTTCTGAGTTATTCCTACTATTATAATATTACTTCTTCAATTCTATACATGCTTTATTCTTGTGGTATATTTGTATTAGTTTCTTACCACGAAAACATAATTTTCCCCTATGTCATAAAATCGAAGGTTGGAAAAGATTTAAGAAGTATTTAGTTCATTTTCCCGTTATTTTATGTATTATACAAAACTGGGAATAAAAATGGCAAATCTGTTTGTTGATCCTATTTTTAATATTTAAGGATGTCAATCCCATGGAACTTTTTAAAATTACTAGTGGCTGGTATATATTATACACATGGATATTTAAAATTTTTCTCCTACCACTAAAACAAAATTTTGATTTAAATTATATATTTATTCTAAATTCATGCCATACTCTCAAATTTTTATTATTTTGTCTTTGCCTGTTTAACCTTTTTCTGTTTGCTATATTTTCTTTTCTGGTCAAATATTCTGAGTCTTAACAAAATTCTAGAATATAGTGTTTCTTTCATCCCAGATAGACCTTATCCCTGGATCACAATTACTCATTCTTTGTTTCATTTCCTACATTGGTTCCTGTTTTATAGATCACTGTTTTCTATTCTGTAATTTGGACTAGCTGACTACAAAAATAATAATAACGATAATTCAACACTGAAGATCATCTCCCTGCACTTCCCCTGAGGTAGAGAAGATCTTCTTAACATCTTGCCTAAATCCCCATCTACTGCATTTAAGACCCTGCTGTCTTGCACTGTTCTCAGAGGAAACAGAGACCAGCTGTTCACCTCTACCTGCAAAGGACTGTATTCCTTCATGAACTTGAAGACTGCTATTAATTCCCTCCAATTCTTTTCCTCTCCAGACTAAACAAGGCCAGTTTCTTTACCCTTGTTTCATTAAGTCTATTTCCCAACCCTTCAGTTATTTTGCCTCCTCTCCACCTACTCCAAATTCTGCACATTTGCCATGAGTATCAGGAGCCAAAAGGACACCATAGAATAAAGAAGCAGATTGCTAATGTACATAAAGTGAATGATTATTTATATTTCTTAAATTCTCTGTGACTGTCAGTATTTTGTCTTTGAACAATAGGGCTATGTTTTTAACCCATAATTAGCTTGTGATCCACTGTGGCTCCTTGTGTCTTTTTTCTTACTTTCAATTGAACAAATCTTTCCTTTTTTATATTTAAAGTTTATATTTCCTCTCCACATTACTAATCCATTTTACTTTTTCCCATAACTCTCACTGTCATTTTTTCTACTTGCTCCTCTAACTTTTGCTTTTTACCTTGGTTGTCCTCTCTTGCTTAAATTCAGATCACAGTATCTCGGAAAGTTATCAAGACCTCAATAATTTCTTTAGAATGCAAAAATAACCAAAATAATTTTATGTTTATTTAATTTCCCTAATCAGACTTTTAATAAATAAGATTAGTGAGTTTTGACCCAGAAAAAAATCTGAAAAAAAATTAACATTACATTAAAAGCTAGATAAATTTTCCTTTCAAACAGGAAGACTCAGTCAATGTGGCATGTGTGAGTGAAAGAGAGAGAAGAGAGGGTGTTGGTGTGTCTACCTAAGCATAAGTTAACTTCTAGAAAACTGGAAGCATTTGGCCTTCACCCTTTTCTTACCTCAGAAAGAACCTGAGATTTATGATTTTCCTCACAACTGCACCCTCTGTCATGTCTAATGCTTTATCTGTCTACATAGAGAGATAGAGAAGATAGATATGAATAAAATTATATCTAATCCCTCTCATCTCTAACACCTGCGAATTACAGTACTCTTTCAGCACGTTCACCTCGTAGAATATATTATTCCACTTAGAAAGTATAGAAAATTTTTAGTCTGGACAGAAAAAAACTACAGAAGAATTTCACAAATTCTGAATAGTTCCCATTGTGGGCCATTGATGACTAAAATGGCCAGTAATACATTGAATAAAGATGAGAGAAAAGCAAAAATTACTACATAATTCTATTATTGCCAAAATATTGCCCTGTGAAAGAAAAGAAAAAATTGTAAAATTATGTAGATTCAATAGAAAATTATGATTTAATAAACTGATTTCTGATGCCAATCATCTAATATAAAAGAATAGCACTCTTTGTGCTATCTCACATACTTTTTAAAAAGTAGATCAAAAGAAATATTATGAAACTGTTTGCACTGCATTATTCACTCAACTCCAAACTATCTTTTACCCAAATTAAAAGGGAGGTGAATAAAATTTAAAAAATTAAATCTTCCAATTTTTCTTCTCCCCCAGATGTTAGCCGTATAGAGGAAACAGTCTTGCATAATCGGTCCAGGACTCTATTGTTTTTAGCAGCTTCATCCAAGTTGCTGAAATTGCAAAGAAAAGTTATCTCTGTTTCATTCACGTCTAGTGCATAGGAGCTTTTCTATTGTTTCTTAAACCCTTTAGTTACTTTCATGAAGAAAATACCACCTTCAAGCAAGAAGACAAGAGAAAAGTAAAGGTTCTCTTCAGTTTATATAGTTTCAATTTACAAAAAATAAAAAGTGAAATAAATAAAACTTTGGGACAGTCCTATAGCTGTCATTTGGCACATGGTAAATTTAGCCAGACTGTTTACTTACATAAGAGTCTTATCTGAAGGTCAGAAACATAATCAAAAACTAACTAAATAGAAAGGGAAACTAGTGAAAGATAAAATAATCCAAACTAAAAATGCCCTACTGCAATCATGTAGGTTTTTGTGTGAGGACTTTTTAAGTTATTATTTCTCTCCAAATAAGTAGAGCTTTAGAAAAAACTAAATGTAAAAAAAAAAAAATCTCCGTAAGGAACTCTATAGAATACTTGAAAATAAAAAGCACAAAAACACTGTAGATTCACCACAATGAACATGGCACATGTCTTTCTAAACGGGTTCATTTATATGTGGCATATGTAGAAGAAAGGGGACATTAAGCCTCTGACTTATTGTCCCTTGAATGGACAGGCCCCCTGGCTAGAAAACATCAGGGACCCTTTGCTATTTCTATTTCTTTCCTTCTGTCTAGGACTTTCTCTTCTGATCAGCCCTCTGAATATCTTCCCTTTCTCTCTCAATGTCTCCAGTCTACCTTTCTCCTTTCTCTCTCTCTGGCTTCAGTAAATCTCACTTTTCCTATGTAACAAATACATTCATGGTGTTAAATTATATTTACATTTACCTTTGTGATGCCCCTTCTTTATTTTCCCCTCCCTAAACGTTGTTATCTTTCTTCCCATCTCTTTGCTCCTTCAGGCCCTCCCTGTCCCCTCCAGCCTTTTCCTTATTCTGTCACCTCAGGGTGCTGCTGAGGTTACCGCTCTTTCTCCTGTCACTCTGTACAATCTTCAGCAGCAAATCTCTTTTTCACCTCTCTTTCCACGTGGCCTGTGTATGCGTTTGGGGAGGATGACTTGTACATTGGGTCAGGCCTAGGGAAAGGGGTCTTAATTCGCAAGAAAATGCAGAATGTCTCAGGAAGAGTTGATTTTTCTAAATATTTTATTTTAATGTAAAAGGACCAGCAGACACAAAAATTAAAAAGCAATATCCGTAAAATATGATCCCTCTATATTTCAAACACACTATCTTTAAATCCTGCAGGTGTTCTTCGAGACCAAGTTGAAGCACATTCATTTAAAAAGATCTCTTACGATTTTATTTTTACTTTTCATTTCCCAAAAGGTTTTTCAATGATTTCTTTAGTACAATTTACTAACAGGAAGACAGATGCATTTTTCTGCTGAATCCGAATACTTTGGTTGGGCTTTAAGAAAAGCTATTTTATTAACAAGTCAGTTCTTAGTGGAGACACAGTTTAGGAAACCTATTGTGCATTTCATTTGTAAATAATTTATTATTATATATAAATGGCCATACTTTCTAACATGTCAAAATCAACAGGAGGCAGGACATGGTATAAGGGTTCACCATTAGCCTGACTAAATTTTTGTCAAGACTGTATGAAAGGCATAGTTAATATTTAATTTAGCTTATAACACTGAAAGGCTCTGGCATCTACCTCATAGCAATAAAATACAAGGTGGAATTGTGTCTTCCTCATTTTGGTCAGAAGAAAAATGTTAAAATTTTCTACCGGTGAAGCAATCAGAGAAACTGGATAACTTTTCATGTTTTTTTAAAATCCCACCTTTAAAAGAAATAATGAGCATTTATATGCATATTCAGCAATGACTACAATATCGCCATGCCCAACTCAAAAAAAATTCTCTGAATGGTTTTCATTCTTTGGATCGTCCCCTTACATTCTAGGAGACTGGAGAACAATAGGTGGGTTTCATATAGCACCTGATTGATATTTCCAGGGTGTGAAAGCCTCTACTGGCAGATTAGGTTGATATTGCATATTCAAACACATACAATGATATATTTGTCATTGCTATTGACCTTTATCTCTCCAGTTTCCTGACAACCTTCTACAGTTATTGACATTACAAATACCAGCAGCAACGTGCAGGGCAAAGTATAACCTTTCATTTACCTTCATGTCCCTCAAATGACTTGTGTAGGTAGTTTCAACAAAAGCAGCAAACAATGATACTGTTGATTTTTTTTTCCTTAACTTGCTAAAATGTTTTCCATTTTCCTCTTGTTCTCAGAAAATCATGCCAATAACTCTCTACAAAGGAAACGATTTCAGATGAATACAGGTAATTAGAAGTGTCAAGAAATCAGCAAAGTGGGGTGTCTGCCATCATTTCTGTGGAAAGAGTGCCAGATTCTCTTTCAAAAAGGTCTTTGTCATTTTTTAATAGAAGGTAATTAATGTAGACTACAGTAAAATGTGCAGGATTCCAGTCGCTTGTCTTTCTTGCCATAGAAATGGGACCATAAAGATGTTTTGATATCTAGAAACAATCTTCTGAGGTTATTTAAAAATGACTTTTAATTACAAAAGTAGTCCTTTTAGTCTTTTCATTTTAAAAGAAAAAGGATTTAGAAAGGGCATATTTATTAGAAGACAAAGGAAAGAAAGTTTTATAAGGAAAAATTATCTGGAAAGTGAAACAACAGGATTTTATACAGCTGACAAGATTTGAGAATGCTATAAATTAGCCTATATCTCAAATGTTTCCAACAGTAAGAGAAATGATGCATAATGTTCTAGTGAAGGTAATTACACACTTCTAATACAATGATACTATAGGTAATGGGAGATTTTTTTTTCCTCTAAGGACAAAATCAAAGTGACCATTTGGCTCTATTAAAGCTCCCCCTCCATGAAATTAGTAAGAACAACTGGCTCACAGATATTTATTAAAAAAGGAAATCTTTAGGACCACTCTTTAGGGGATGAAGGTGAAATTTAAGTCAATTCTGAGATTCCTTAAGGGTCATAATTTTCTACTATGTGCTATACAAATGGAATAATCTTTCCAAGATTAAGTTTTGCATGTATTTACATAGGAAATTATTCTCATTTCCTATCTTGGTTCTCAAGAAGCAGTATATTTTCTTCTTGAAAGTTTTGTTATCTTGGGAGAGCAAAAAAAAAAAACTTCACTCATAACAAATACATTGTTGAAGCTTGAAATTAAAATTATGAAATAATTTTAATATTGACTCTCACACTGAAATATTGATGAATTTGGGATCATGATGAACATGCACCTAGCACTGTAACCACAGGGTGATCAAAGTATACTACAACACCACCTCCCAATTTGAGACATGTTTTTATTTTTAAATACAAATATGCATGTAAGCACTCAATAAGTAGGATCCTGATTACCTGTTATTGGAAATAAGATGGGCTGGAGAAAAAAATACAGCCAAATTCCTCTAATAAATCTTTTTCAATGCAACAAGTTAAATAATATCCTGTTTTTTCTTAATCCTCTATCCTGAGATTGTCATTCTTCATGGATTCCAAACCACTCATCAAACAAAAGACAAACAGTAAACTACAATTGATGTGATAATCATATGCTATGCCACCTACCAATATATACTCTGGGAATCAGAATTTAGTGTATTTTTATTTATGAACCAGTCAAACCAAGTTTTCAGAATGAATGAATCTGGCCATTTTCGAGAAGGAAAGACTTTATATAAGCAGAATCTTTTAAGTCTAGCGTTAAAATAATGTTTAAAATAGTGATGCAAAATGTCATTAAATCACTTATAATAGATATTCTCCCAAAGGTGAGAGAAGTAGAAAAGTAGTAATGAAGATAGAGTCTAGGAAAAGTGGCTTGGTTAATATGATCAGATCGATCAGGATACAGGAAGGTTCAGAGTGACAGATCCAGGCTTAAACCATCCCATGAACAAAATAATCAGAGACTGCTTTAATCAAAGATAAATAAGTTGCAATTCAGAATTTGAGGTGAATTCACAATATTATGTAGGAAACATAGTCAAGAACACAGAACATAGTCATAAAAACAGATGAAGATGACAGAAAAGGGAGTGGAATTCCAGAAGCACGTCAGTATAAAAGAAGAGATAGCTGGGCTTCCTCAAGTACCTGAATTCAGCCGATAGTTCTTTCTGGATTTTTTGACTCTTGTTCTTTTAGCCCCAGGACAGTGGATGGTCAGGAAAGTAAAGTTTGTGGCAGGATCATTTCAAGATGTGCTGCCTCACCCTCCAAATAATATTATTATCTCAGCTAATATTTCCAACTTAATGCTGTCCCAGAGCCTGTATCATAAAAGTCTTCCCAGAATCAAAGAAGGTTGGAACAGTCATTTGCAGACCATATTCCAAGTCTAATGGTGTGCAACTGGTCTGTATTTTACCTTTTCCTCTCCTCTCTTACTTGTGAAAGAATAATCCCATTAGGACGCATGGCTTTAGTACCCTCCTGTGAAAGACAATGAAGATGAGTCATTTCTTCTATCATTGATTCCATAGTGTATTATACATGACCTTAAAAAGCAAATGAACCTATTAATTGCTGTAAAAAAAAAATAGCAAAATATTAACCATGCCCAAATCAAAGATTACTGGTTTTATCATTTCTTATTGTTCAAATGTATAATTCTAACAGGGCTAGTATTCAGCCAGTAGATAATAGAACAGACATGGTTGTTATTGAAATAGTGAAATACTGCTATTCATTATAATTATCAGTAACCATTAACCAGTGCTCTTATCCCTCCCCCAAGGACCACCCATGCTCTTATCACTGTGGTACCTTTTTCTCAAAATACTCCCATCTAAGTTAACTCAAGTAGTGCCTTTTGTAGCAGCAGGTTCTCTAAGACAGACCTTCAGCAACGTGACTGATGTCTTTTCTCACTGATTTGTTCCCATGCTATATGAGTTGTTAAATATTTTTATAATTACTTCTGATTCCAGCTCCTCCCTCCCCTCAGTGAGTTAATATATTCGACCTCTTGAGAGTATATTTGCACTGGTAGACTTATTCTATAAGAGCCACCACTTACAGTTTATGGCTAACATGGTTGATTGATAAAATCTACACTTAAATTTCCTAGTCAAATTATGTCTCCACACTACAGATATGCAAACATGTCTTTATCCATTTATTTGATCAGAATCAAAGATATTCTAAAGATTAGCTTTAGCACAGCTCAGATGCACCTCTGCAGCTCTTCTCTACACAGAGGTAAGATGACACTATGTTTGAGTGAAAGTTTTCTCAGGCTTATTAATTTTCATGATAGAATATCAGTTTTGCCACCTTCAAATCTGATATCTAAAACACAGCTCTCACTTCAGCAAATGGCAATTCAAATATTATTGTGGGCTAGGCAATTGGCAACATATAATAGGTATGCTAAGTTACATGGAATTCAGTTTTTAAATGAGTTCCATTGGACTATTGTCAAAGCATGGTCAAGACCATTAACATTTGAAAAAGACTAAAAAAAAGGTTGGCTATCTATTTATTTCTCTCAAATTCTCTAAACTCTATTCTAGAATCTCCTTTCAACAATAGAAAACAATGCAGTTGAACTATATTAATTTGGCACTCGACAAAAATGCTTTCATTAAATTGTCAGGTGTTATTGGAATTCGATACAAGAGATGGCACTATGAAAACTGTTTTATATATCTTCCCTAAATTAATTGCTCATTGTGTCACCTAATCTCACTCCCAGATTTATATCAGTCTTAACTCACTTTTCTAACACCTTCTTTGATACCTCCACTGCCTCCAAGGAACATAAAATCAACATGTCTAAGACCCAACTGTGTATTTGTTCATCCAAATCTGATTGCCAGAGATTCCCTATCTCAGCAGCTTCAACCATTCAGAAAGGGCAAGTTTGAAATTCAGGAATAATCCTTGGCCCATCACTCTACTTCACTGGCAAATTAATGTAAACCCTTAAGTATCTCTGAAATCTCTCTACTCCACACTATCATCTTTCACCTAGACACCAGAATAGCCACCTAAATGGCCCTCTGCTTCTACTGTGAATACTCTCTATTTGGTCTCCACACTGCAAAGTTTTCCAAATAAAAATCTGATGATGTGCTTTCTCATCTCCAAAGATCCTTACAACTTCCAGGCCCACCACCCTGCATCATGTCCCCAGTGTGTATAATCTCTATTACCTTCTCATGCCATCTTCCCCCTTCCTGTCACTCAACTTGCAGCCACCTTGCTTGTATTTCAGTCCTTCAATACTTCTTCCTGCCACAGAGCCTTTGAATACATTGTTCCCTTTGTCCCATTCCACTCCTTCCTGTACATCAGTGCCTCTTGAACTTTAATGTTCAAAAGAATTAAATAAGGATCTTGCTAAAATGCGGGTTCTGATTCAGTAGGTCCAGACTGGAGCCTGAGATTCTGTATCTCTAAAAAGCCACTCACTGGCACCAATGCTGTTGGTCTAGGGACAGCACCTTGAAAGAAAAGACCTAGATAACTCTAATAACCAGATAACTTCAGCTCTAATATCACTTCTTTGGGGAAACTCTCCTGAACTCCAGGTCTAGGTCATATCCTTTTGTTATGTGCTCTTACAGCATTGTGCTCCTTTCCACATAGTGATAATCCCAATTTGTAATCATAAACAAAGAAAAGGATTAATGGCTATTTATTCCACTACTTCACTCTCTATACAGGCAGAGAACTATTTTGCTCAACATGGAGTCCCCAATGATTAGCACAATACTAGGGCCATAGAAGGCTTTCATTAGAGAGCCATTGAATGAACAAAGAAAGGAGAAAAGGAAAGATTCATGTTATTATCATTGGAATTTGGTAGAAGTTTAAAATTTGTTTCTCCTGAGGAATATGTATATATTTCCCTTTATTAAATGAGAGCCATATAACCCATTGCCTTTTCCTTTTTTGTCTTGTGTGTGGAAAACTTTTCTAAATTTACCGTTCTATTATAGTAATCAGTTTTGCACAGGTTTTTAGTTTTTAATTATAATAATCTCACCTGCATTTTTCTTTGTTTATGATGTCTTGTTTTATCTTATTTTTAACTGCCATGTATGTTGATGTCTTATGATAAGCTGCATCAAATCCTTTTTGAAAATAGTAAATTACTTTACTTTAAAGCTTGCAGATGAATAGCTATACTTGATACATCAGTAGTTATAGACTATAGATAAAGAACTTGGACTCTAAAGATCCACTGTTGGTATCTGAATTCTGACTTCGTGACTTAACGGTAGTGTGACCTTGGATGAGTTATTTGCATGCCCTGTTTTATAGAGT